GATCTTTGAAATTGTTTTCTCTTAAAAAAAAAGAGAGTATCTGATTGAGGTGTTAAGATTGTAAAGGGGACTGATAGTGTTAATACATCATCTTTTTTTATATTTAATGGTGAGAATAGTAGGACTAGGGACACAAATATAAATTTTGGCAAGGTAGGAGTCATCTTCAGCTAAGAAATGGTTGGCTTTTAGAATGGGTTGCCTTTAGATGTTGTGGAGGCAGTAAATTTAAGTGAGTTTAAGAGAAAGCTTGATAACTATATGAATGATAAGGGCTGGTTTTAATATTTTTTTTAATAGTTGTAGCTTAATTTAGAGGATGGGATAGCTGAGATGGATCAGTAGGTCCCTTGTTGTCCCTAAACATTGTATTATGTTATATACATGTATGTGTTTCAGAGATTAAAATTTCAAACATGTAGAAGAACTTATCATTAAAAAAAAAACTTCAGTAAACAAAATAAAACTCCACAAACAGTATCATTGTATCCGATACAGTACATTACCTTCACTAGCAGATACAGCTATTCTCGTTCAGTACTGCCCTCTATATGCAAAAGATTTTTTTCACATGCCACAAGCCTTGCACTCCCATAATCATCGTGGTTCAACTGTGTCTTGCATGCTAATTATCATGTGACAACTCTTCACCAATAGGAGTGCAACACAGCCTCCTTACCCATATGACTCTCTCTATTCGATTCTCCTGAACTATCACTTCTTGTTTGGCAGTGCTATCATCGAGACATTTTTGTTTGTGCTCTCTAGCAATGTTTTTTATAATTTCAAACGAAGTGGAAATATTTTTCGATTTTTTTCCTACTTCACTTTAACAGTTTTAAGTGATAACTTACCTAATTTGTTCTTAACTTTTTTTTGGTTTTCACCAAAGTTTATTTTTACGCTTTGAAAGTGATATCATTTAGTTTGTTGGGAACTTGATCGTTATAGGATTTGACCTTCATCCATCCTCGAGTTTGGGGGGCCCACATATTTTGAATATGGGCCACTGACTTTGGAAAGATAAGCTGTTATACATTGAATTTTTTATATTAATATTATCATTTATAGTTATCTGATAATTGTATTCTTTTATCCCATGCCACGTTTTCCAGCCTTCATCTTACTCTATTGACTCTCCTACAGGAAATGTCCACCATACACCTCCTTTCTGAGGTGTTCCACTTACATATTGGGAATTTTCTTGGGATACCTTCTCCATCCTCACCTTCACATAGAGATAATTACCATCTTTGGCTCAATCATTTCTTTGATCTTTCCCATTTCACTATGTTGTCTTTTATCACACTCTGGTGGGCAATTTCTCAAGGACTAAGGATGCCCAAGGTCGATGTTTCATATTATTATACCCATGTTCCAATTTTTCATCCCTTGTGATGCTATCTTATGTTTGTTCACCACGGGATTGGGTACTAGTTTTGTGCCTTGCTTTTTTAGCTTGTTTTGGGTCTGTATGTCTTTTGTCAGGTAATCAATTTTACCTGACATTAGCATGATGGGGATTGTACTTATACCCCAACTTGGTCATCTGGCTTCTGTTAGCTCACTCTGAACTGGGGTTGTCATAACATACTCATCTGCTTCTTACACATGCAGCTTGTGTGGTTAGAATTTCCAGTTGGAAAAGTCTTTCCCATTACCTACCTAACAATCTTGTCTTTTGGGGTATATTTTTTAACACCTAACTCCATCAGGCCCATCCTTTGACTGCATTTGATGGAGCTTTCAGTTATCCATGCCATCACTGTTAACTATGTTGCTGCTAGCAAGGTTCTATTATGTTGGGAGATGTGGCTTCTTTGGGTCTGGCACGTATGTGATCTCTTCAGGGGACACTGCATTACCCATGGAATCTTGACAGGGTTCCTTTTTATTCTCCTCATAACTTTCCTCCTGCCCTCTTTGACAATACGCATTGGTGGTTGAACAAAGTCCCCATGTTGTTGGGTTTACCACTTCATATCTCTTGTCCAGATTTGTTTCTCTTTACTGATGCTCACCTTCAAGGTTGGGGGTGTGGATCGATCAGCATGAGGCTTCAGTACAATGGTATATGGCCAAAAGGTCTTACCATGTTAACACCCTGGAACTTTTGGCAGTCCATTGTGCCTTGGTTCACTTTTTTCCTCTTGTCAAGATTTGACTAATCATGATCCATTCTGATGATGATGGCTTATATCACTCACCAAGGGGTCACCCTTTCTAGGTCCCTTTGTGGTTGACCTTGTACCTCCCTTTTTGGGCTCACACACTTGATGTTCATTTCCCAGCATGTCATGTTCTCAGTGCTTTCAACCTCATTGCAGATTAACTTTCCACAAGTTCCAACATACATTATCCCACAAAGTGGTCTCTCGCTCCTCAAAACTTTCTGGTGGCTCTGCCACCAGTGGGGTACTTCTCTGAGGGATGCTTTTGACTCTTTCCTCAATTCAAAGTAACCTCTTTTTGTTTTGTTTTTGTCTCTGATTCCTCATTCACTCATCTTGGCTGTTTATACCTTTGTTTTTCTCATCCCGTTCATCATCTTCCCCAGGTGATTCCATTCATCCATTCCATATCAGGTCTTTCTGATTACTCTGTTTTTGGCTGGCACAGATCTGGTTTTCTTGGCTACTTCAGCTTGATCTGTTCTTTTTGTTCTGGATCACTTTTTCCACACCTACACTTTGGTGGCTTGGGTGGAATGTTCTTTCTTTTTGTCATTTTTATTTCCTTCCATCTCCCACCTTTAATTTCCTGGTCAGATCTGGATGGCTTTCTATGTCCTGTACATGCTCATGGTTGCTTCATTGCCTTCAATGCTTCTTTCTGTTGGTTCTCTTTCCTGAAGTTTCATTCCCACCACTCCTCTGTTTGTGATTTCTTTCCTTCCTTCCTTATCAATTGGATTCAGCTTTTGATTCAATTGTTTTTTCTGCCATGTCTCCTTCTTCCTGTAATCAATTCCTGGTGTCTTTGCTCCAATTAGGCATCTTACTCCCATCATATGTTGGAGGTACTTCTTCCATTGAGCACTGGGATAACACTTCATACCTTCATCTCCCATTATCTGCTTCAGGTAGTTGTTTCTTCATTGTTCGTGTAATGTCTTCCACCTGTCTCCTTCCTTCACTCATCAGTGAGACTGTGACTGGGTGAGTTACCTTTTTGTATATATACCTCATCTTTTTCAGGGGCATGTCCCTTTTTTCTTCAAGGATCCTGTTCTGTAGTTAGTGTTGCCTGTCCAGGTGTACTTAAACTAGTCCAGTCCACAATGTAAAGCCATGATGACTTAACAATTATAGTTTCCATGGCCACAAAATGCACACTGTTGAGATGGGATATTTCACAAGATTGCTCATAGGTTTTCCTCGTGATATATTTGCTTCATTAATATGTCTGTTCTGGATTGTACTAATCCATAGACTTCATAGGTAAAGCAGAAGAGGATAGTTGCCCATCCCTACCATTTCTTAGATTGAATAAATTAGGAGTGGTCTGCTTTTCAGAATAGGGTTTTTGTGGACACCCTTTGTACTGTCTCCTGTGTTGACGTTCCTCTGGACTCTCCACTGCATTTTCTCCCCCATTTTTTTTCCAGTGGAGTACAAAGTACTTTTCAATTCCAAACCACTGAGGTAGTGGACCATGGAGCCATCCTCCTGAATGTGATAGTGATATATGATACAAACAATAATGAACTTGTTCAGTTGAGAGTAGTGCGGTGGTGTTCTGCTGGTGCAGATGATGAGATATCCTCCAATATGATGCTCCATCTCTGAGGGAGGTCTACCTGTGGGGATATTGCAGCTTTGGAGTGAGCCATCAAAATTGCAGTTCACCCTTTCAATTGGAATCCCTCATCCTACCTTCACATGGACATCGGTTCCCAGTGGCTGGGATTTCGATTCAGAGCAGGACCAATCAACATAAGTCCTCATACATGTATAACTGGTGTCTCTGTTCCCTCATTAAATTGGCCTCATGTTCATTGCTAACGTGTTGTAGGTGATGGTGGATGAACATGCAGGTTGCTACGGTTCTTCCTCTTGCCCTATCCCTTGATGATACTGTGCTGGGGGTTTTTCCTGTCTGATTGGTTTTGAGTGGGATGTCACACAACACGGGGACATCTTTATTATTCCGTTTGTCCAGATGTTGGGTTCTTGGATCAATAATATATTTATCAGTTTGTTCACATGTGCTCTGTTCACAGATCAATGGGCATGATATCCTACCCTCACATGGATGTTGGTTCCCATTGACTGGATTTTGGATTGTAGTTGACTTACTGATGGTATGATCCTCATCTTACCCCCACATTGATGTCAATTCCCCGGGGCTGGGTTTTGAATGCAGTTGACTTGTTGAGTACGGTCCATTGCACCATAGTCACTCTAAACATTGGGGCACATACTTTTTACTCTCACCCACTGATGTTTCTTTGAAAGGATTGAGGTTCTGATATAAGGTGGTCTGGATCCCTATCCAACCATTTTCCTTTCCCATTTGGATGTGTTCCTACCAATGTCTGCAACACCTCTTTCCACACTAGCATAGAGTATACTTGGTACAGAAGTGGTGTGGATTCCTATGTATGGCCCTCTACTATGAGGATCTCACTTTTAGGGTATTCTTCATATGCTTCTTTCTATCCACCTATTCAGTGTGGGATTGTAGCTATATATGTGAGTGAAGGCAATATACTTTATCAGAAGTTATAATTTTCCTATACTGAAAATGTATTTCCAATAGGTACTTACCTCCTCTCACACTTTCTAATGGTGCTTCCATTTTCTGCCAAAACTTGAGGTGATAGTTTGGTAGAATCGAATAGAGGGAGTCACATGTGTCAGGAAGGTGTGTCACATTCCTGTTGGTGGAGGGTTGTCGCGTGATAATTTGCATGTGATACACAGTTGAACCATGATGATCGTGGGGAACGTGGGAGTGCAAGGCTTGTGGCATGTGAAAAAAATATTTTGCATATAGAGGGCAGCACTGAACGAGAATAGCTGTATCTGTGACAGAAGGTAAGTACCTATCAGAAATATATTTTCAGTATAGGAAAATTATAACTTTTAAATGTATATTTTGACAGTGATCTTTATTCCTTATACAGATGTGAAATAAACTCGGATTTAAGGATTGTAAAATTGTAATAGGCCTTATCACCAGAGAAAATCAAAACTCCAGCCAACCAAAAGGAAAAGATAGTCTGTTACTTAATTTCATCCACAGTTAATTGGCAGAAATTATATAACATTTATTTTAATTCAAACCATCACTAAATTATCTTACCTGTCACTTACAGGTCTTAACATAATAGTATTATTGATAAAATAATGGTTTTGGTGCTGCTTGTTAAAGCTAATCGATTCTGTTTCAAAGAAGCGCTAAATTAATAGTTATGGGATAAGTTAGGTCTATTGTTTAGTCTTGGTTAGTTAAATTAAAGAACGTTAAACTTCTAGAAATTTCAGTGTTTTCCTTTTATTAAGTGGACTGGACTTTGCATTATTTTTGCTGAATAATCAAGAATAACGTGTCTATCAATTATCACAAGGAGCCTTTACATTGTTAATTGTTACAAATTATAGTTTTTAATATCTTAGTTACACTAAAATTTCTGAGCTTTGCCTATTTCTGTCAAGAGATGTTAAAGGATCATAGCCTTTAAGTACTTTTCTGTACTCCATTTGTTTTTAAGTGTAGAACGTTGCAGTTTTAATTTTAATACTATGACTCAAAAGAAAAATTGTCTATTGATGTGTCCCATGGAGAATGCCAGGTAAACTATAATGGTTATTATTTGTTTTAAATGGTTCTTAATATCTATGTGATCATGAATGTAGGCTGTCACTATAAAAATCAGATTTCTTTTAAAGAAACAAAAGATCTTAATATCAATATATAATTTGTATTTTACATTACATTTTTTTTAAAATTAACATAAGTTTAAGTTTTTTTATTTAGGGTTTCTGAGTGATATCTGCATATTTCAGTACAATACAAGAACACCAGTGTTTATATTTACTACTGGAATAGCATTGGGTGTGACAGAATTGTTAATGTACCAGACTGTAAATCACAAGGTCCAAGGTTCGTGCCATGATACTGCTGAATGTGCTTAACACATTCATCTGTGGGTTTATTATAATAGTGACAATCAGCCCCATTATTCAGTTTAAACTGGACCAAACCCTTGTGATGGCAGATATTGCTGACAGATTGCCTTCTCTTTGTTCAGTATTTAAAAATTATGTATGGTAGTACATCAACCATAGAGATTCTTGACCTGATCATTTAGTCAATATGTTGCACAAGGTGCCATTTAGATTGAAAAACTGTGATGAGAAACACAGAAAAATACCCAGTCTGTTAGAACATTACAAGAATACACCCTTACAGATACACTTAGTAAATATCTGTAGATTGTACATTAACATAAATATTTTTGTTTATGTAAATATAAATAACTTTTACTATATTTTCTCATTTAAATAACAAATAAATCATTCATTTTTTTTTATTAGAATGATTACACTTTTTTCACAGGATGGAGCCACCCCTCTTTGGATTGCTTGCCAAATGGGTCATTATGGAGTTGTAGAAAAACTCATTGCACACAATGCTCAGATTGATTGTGTGAATGAAGTATGTAATTGTTTTCTCTTGTCATATGTAAAATTTTTGCTGTTATAGTCATTTATTGAATTGTTGTATGAAGCTATTTAATTTTTATGATACCATTGATGTAGTGACTAAATTTATCAGTGTTTTATTGTAATTTATTAATCCTGTGTTAGAGATCTAATTATGACACCTGAAAGGAAAACAGTAGGAACTGTTCCTTGAACAAGAAAAAACACGAGTGTAAAAAACAAAAAACAAATGTGTGTTGTAACTTGAAAGTTATGCTCCCTGGTGGGACAGTAGTAAGTCTATGGGTTTACAATGCTAAACTCAGAGGTTCGATTCCCCTCAGTGAACACAGCAGATAGCCTAAATTGGCTTTGCTATAACATGAAAAATACACACACACACTTGAAAGCTACTTACAATTCCAAGAAACAACAAACTGTTGAATGTGTGGAAAACAAAGAGGCATTAAAATTAAGAGACTGGTAGTTAAATTTGATGTAAAAAGTTCTATTTATCTTATAAAGGTAATATTCACAATAGCAGTTGAATAGCCTTAAATTACTTGTAATACAAAACAAACATAAATTCAGCACATATACATGAAATTATTTGTACCACAAACACAAAAAGTTGAAAAAATAAGACGGAAAGAATTGAACTTAGTAAGTATGAAAATGGGATGTAATTCAGTTATCACGTGTGCAACATAAACTATTCAAATACCTTCCTAAAGCTCTCCATCTGCTTAATTCTTTAGACAACTTCTCACAATACCAAGTACAGGGCAGTTTATAGATACTACAGTTGTTTTGACCTAAATTTCCTGACTTACAACAGCCTGTGGATTTCTTCTTTGGTTCCTATTATTCTTACACATTTATCAGTACTTTAATTGAATTGTAAATATATCTTTAAATATAATTTATGTATTAAACTTAATGTTATATATAGATACTTCGACACCAAGCTGAAATTTTATTTAACTTTAATTTCCTGTTATTTATTATGTGCCCTCCCTTAGTGGCTGAAAGATTATCATACCGATAATTGGGTTTCAATACCCATGGTGGGTATGGCATGGATAGCTTTATTACATGCAGAGAAGTAGTAACTTCATAATTAATGAAACCTAGTTTGTTATTGGCTACTTAGTTTGATTTTACAAAGGAATAAAAGTATACTGCTTGAGTGCGTACAACTAACTGGGCTGGAATCATGGTAATTCAGCGAATGTTTTTGGTGGCTACATGATCATTCGTCAAGATATGTTTAAGTTCAAACAAGCTGAAACTGACATTAGTTCACGTGTAAAGTGAAGATATGTGTACAAAACTACAAACTATATATTTTTAATGATAAACTAAAAACATCACAATGTTTAAAGTGCACAATAATGTGCTAGAAAAGGTACTCTACACATGATTACTCTACATGTGTTTTCTTGATTAGGAAAATGTTAAACTTATTAATCAGATCAATTACAAGGATGAATTAACTATTAAAGTAATTGTACAAGTATTTTGAATAAAGACTCTGCTAAGGTATTTATGGAATTCAGTTTCAGGAAAGTGATCTTGTGATGTTGGTGGTGCCACTGGTCAAGGTAATTTATACATAATCGTATCTACATGTGTACATCTGTGTGGTGGTATATAAGCCTCTCTCTCACTCTTAACTGGCCCAGCATGGCCAGGTGGTTAAGGCGCTCGACTTGCAATCTGAGGGTCGCGGGTTCAAATCCCCGTCTCACCAAACATGCTTGCCCTTTCAGCCGTGGGGCCATTATAATGTGACGGTCAATCCCACTGTTCGTTGGTAAAAGAGTAGCCCAAGAGTTGATGGTGGGTGGTGATGACTAGCTGCCTTCCCTCTAGTCTTACATCACTAAATTAGGTATATGTAGCTTTGCGCGAAATTCAAAACAAACAAACAAACACTCTTAACTTGATGCTGCTGTTAATAATGGTGGGGCAGTACTGATTGTTGAAACATGTAGAGTTATCCAATATGCCTGGTGCCACTGATAATGGTGGGGTAGTACTGATTGTTGAAACATGTCGAGTTATCCAATATGCCTGGTGCTACTGATAATGGTGGGGTAGTACTGATTGTTGAAACATGTAGAGTTATCCAATATGCCTGGTGCTACTGATAATGGTGGGGTAGTACTGATTGTTGAAACATGTAGAGTTATCCAATATGCCTGGTGCTACTGATAATGGTGGGGTAGTACTGATTGTTGAAACATGTAGAGTTATCCAATATGCCTAGTGCTACTGATAATGGTGGGGTAGTACTGATTTTTGAAACATGTAGACATCCAATATGCCTGGTGCTACTTTTAATGAATTATTGTACACCTTTAACATAGCAATGTTTTACTTTGTTTAATTTATGCACAAGCACTGTTGTTTATCATATTTGTTGTTACTGATATCTAAAGGTTTCTTCATATTTTTCTTTTTTTATACCATTTCTTTCATTTATTCACAAATTTGGTAAGCAATCATGCTGTTTTAACGATTACAGAAAGTTAAGTAACAGCAGTGTTAAAATTAAACATTTTGCATACATTTAGAAGGTTTCAGATGTTCAACAGGAGACAAATTTAAAACCAGGTAATTATTATTAAAATATTTTATATTTAATAAAAATGTATATCACATGTATAACACATTGCATATTTCCATAAACAAAGAATAGCTGCAAATCAGATTTTGTGCGGTAGTGTTTGATGCTTAAACATTGTGAAGACGAATCTTCTGTGTTGATACTCAATAACTCACTGTGTATGTACACCAATAGTACCCGATGAATTATTAGGAAAGTCAAATACTAGTTATAGAATTACTTAACGTGTCTTATTAATTTCTGAACTTTTTAAATGAGAATCTTAAGAAAAACAGTGCAAACATTTTATTTTAGTTGTGTATTATGTGTCAGAATCTCAAATTCATTTCAGTATTCTAATATAAAGTTTAGTTACTCTTGAAATATCATTTCACTGATTTTATAATGGTATTTTATTAAACATGGCTATTTCAATAACTTATGAGTAGTCTTAGTAAGCTCGCTTGTATAGTGCAGGTGTTTAGCTTTCTATGTATCTAACTAAGTTATGAAGCAGCAATTGCTGATAGTACCCATGATAGACTTGAGTGTATGGCAACGTTTTTAGTTTATTTCCCAGGATGGAGCAACACCTCTGTTCAAGGCTTCACACAAAGGTTATTTAGAGTTAGTTGAACTTCTTGTAAGAAATGGAGCTTCTTTAGGATTGCTGAAGGTAATATATAAGTTTTAAATTTAGAGTTTTACTTACTAATTGTATTTAATTTACAAAATCAAAATTGGTTTATATCATTCAGCATAAGTGCTCAGTGTCTGTTTTTATATTTACATTACCCAGAAAAACTTGGATATTAGCTGTCATTTTATCTTTAGAAAAGAGCCAGATCATTTGAGAGTTAAATGCTAGTTATTGATTACCAAGCATATTGATGAGTTCTTAGGCATATATAAAAAGCTATAGGTCTAATATTGTATTATGATAAAATTGATAACAATTCAAAGCACATCCCTCTTTACTGGCCCAGTAAGATTATCCAGATTATTAGTGATTATATAGAAATAATAATCTGGATAATCTTACTGGGCCAGTAAAGAGGGATGTGCAACTGATAAGTTGTAGTTAAAATGTGATTATATAGAAAATTTTAACTACAACTTATCAGTTGCACATCCCTCTTTACTGGCCCAGTAAGATTATCCAGATTATTATTTCTATATAATCACATCTTAACAACTTATCAGTTGCACATCCCTCTTTACTGGCCCAGTAAGATTATCCAGATTATTGTTTCTATATAATCACATTTTAACCAAAACTTATCAGTTGCACATCCCTCTTTACTGGCCCAGTAAGATTATCCAGATTATTATTTCTATATAATCACATTTTAACCAAAACTTATCAGTTGCACATCCCTCTTTACTGGCCCAGTAAGATTATCCAGATTATTATTTCTATATAATCACATTTTAACCAAAACTTATCAGTTGCACAT